CGCCCGTCTCATGTACGGAAGGTCGTGGGTTCGAACCCCGGCCGAGTCATACCAAAGACTTATAACAATGGGACCTTTTGCCTTCTAGCTAGGCGCTCAGCATATTAGATTGGAGAAGGGTAGTAATAATTATGTTATGTTATGCAGGGCCTGCTGGAAGAGCAGTTTCATAACTGAAGTGGCTACCCTGGGTAAATAAAACGTTATTATAATTATTATTATTGTTATTACCCTCGAGGATAACAACCCCCGAGGACAAGTATAATATGTTTTCGTGTACGTTAAATTGCCTTCAAGTTGTATGTACAGTGCCCTGTCAAAAGAAAATAAATATCCGCTCTCTGGTAATTCATCTCATTTGATTTTGTTACTCTAGCGCAGCGTTTTTCAACCGGGGTGCCGCAAGAGAATGATTTGTAAAACGTTGATTTTGTAAAAAAAATCAAATACCAGAAACGGTTAAAATATGTAATTACAAGAGAAAATAAAATTTGGAAGATACTAAAGTGTCTTCCTTCCTCGCTCGCTGACAATTTGTTGACAGCAAGGCAAATGAGGGCAACTAGAGGCCCGAATATCCTCATATTAGTGTATCAAGGTCATGACCGAATATATCACTTTTTGTATGTACATTCGGCGGCAGTGGCGTAATGAGCAAAAACGTTTTGGGGGGGGGGGGGGGGCTGACCAAAAAAATCCGCAGCACCCCACTCTAACATGCAGGCCCCGCTGAACGTTTCGCAAAGTGGGGTCTAGGGGCAAAGCCCCGGCGGGGGTCAAGGGGCGGAGCCCCCGAAGCTCAAGGGGTATGGGCATCAGTGGCGGATCCAGGAATTTCTTACCGGGGGGGGGACCAAATGGCATGGGGTTAAATATATGTAAAACGATGAAGCGACAGAACGAGGCTTTAGCGGCGAGGGAGCGGAGCGACCAAGCGGGGGTTGGTTTGGGAGTGGATTCTGGCCCCCTCCCAGAGTAAGAAGCATTTGAAATTTTAGAACCAAATTAGATGCATTTTTAGGCACTTCCTGGAGTAATATGACGTAAAATTGCTTTCTCCTACCCCTTCCAAGAGTAGGGATCTTTAGCAATTTGAGAACCACATTTGGCGCATTAATGTCCACCGGCACTTCCTGGAAAAAACGAGGCCTTCTTATTGGTTAGAAGTTAGAGAAAAGTGATCTGTCACGTCTTGAGACGTTGTATATGCTTTGATGCCGCACAATGCACAAAGACGGTGGTCCGGTACTTTATCAGTAGTACTTGCAAAAAAATTCTCGAGTGTATAAACTGTGTCGTTATCAGGGGCGTCGCTAGATCTTTGTCAGTGGGGGAGTGGGGAGGGTGTAGAGGCCACCGATTACAGACAAAAGGAGCAACCAATTACCGACAAATATATTGATGCCAATGTCCAAATGTCTACAAATTTAACCCTCTAAACCTGGGGCCAGGAACTAAGTTATTTTTCAGTCTCCCCCCTCCCGCGCGAAGCGCGGAAACTTTGACACTTCATTCAATTATTAGAGAAAGAAGACGATCCATTGTACCGTTCTCGACTCTTATTTCTTGTTTGGATCCAGTCCCCCCCCCCCCCCTCCCGCGCGAAGCAGTTTTGACGTTTCAATAAATTATTACTCTTAATCCTTGTCTGAATTCATTCTCCCCCATCCCGCGCGAGACGCGGAAGCTTTCACGTTTCATTAAATTATTAGAGAAAGAAGACGATTCATTGTACCAGTTCCGACTCTTAATCCTTGTCTGAATTCATTTTCGCCCATCTCGCGTGAAGCGCGGAAACTCTGACGTTTCATTAAATTATTACTCTTAATCCTTGTCGGAATTCATTTTCGCCCATCCCGCGCGAAGCGCGGAAGCTTTCACGTTTCATTAAATTATTAGAGAAAGAAGACGATTCGTTGTATCGTGTTCTTGTCTGAATTCAGTTCCCCCCCCCCCCTCCCGCGCGAAGCACGGAAGCTTTGACACTTCATTAACTTATTAGAGAAAGAAGACGATTCATTGTACCGGTTCCGACTCTTAATCCTTGTCTCAATTCATTTTCGCCCATCTCGCGCAAAGCGCGGGAGCTTTGACACTTCATTAAATTATTAAAGAAGGAAAACGATTCGTTGTACCTTTTACTACTCTTAATCTTGTCTGAATTCAATTTTCCCACTGGGCCCCCTTAACTGTACATATGTGCAGTGTTACATGATGTAAGTATGGAACGCCCGGCAGTGCTTGTCACAGTTGCTTCTGGAAAGGATTTTTTTACTAGTGTTACTGTTAGTGGCCACGGCCCCTTAGTGACTATAAAAAAACACATATGCTCTTCCTGGCCATTTGGGAATGTGTCAGTTTGCAACAGAAATGGAGAAACGCACATTTTGTTGAAAATCATGTGATATCACGAACATTTATACATCACTTGTATATGGAATTGAAAATAAGTCATGGTTCTATTTTATTTGGAGGGGGGAGGGGGCTGGCGCCCCCAAGCCCCCCCCCCCCCCCCACCAGTACGCCAGTGCGGCAAGGTGCCCGCATGCAGTACTTTAAATAGTTTCTAGTGTGTGGATTACAAACTATTTTTTTACCAGTTTTATTCCTAAATGTGCCCATACGTGTGTCATAGTACTTGACGAGAGCCAGAGTCATGCAAAATTAATAGTCTGTAAAGACTTTGGGATTTGGGAGAAACTTTTCATTTCTTAAGAGGGTACCGTGACTAACAAAAAGCTAAAATAACGCTGCTCCAGAGAAATGTAATTTTATGCATTTAGAAAAGTGCTGGACAATTACCTAAAACTTACATCCTTCGTGGAAATTAGCAACCGCGCTGGCGTTGCATAAATTATAATAAAAGGGAAATGTGTAGTAATGAGAAAGACAACGTGCTAGAGTATTTGAATGTGTCAGATCGTCTTTTGCTATTGAATCCTGATTGTCCACGGGAGTAGTTGTCATCGGGGGGTAATTGTCCTCGGGGGTAATTATCATCGGGGGGCAGTTAACCTCGGGGGGTAATTGTCCACGGGGGTAATTGTCCTAGGGGGTAATTGTCCTCGGTTGGTAGTTGTCCTCGGGGGGTAATTGTCCTCGGGGGGTAATTGTCCTAGGGGGTAATTGTCCTCGGGGGGTAGTTGTCCTCGGGGGGTAATTGTCCTCGGGGGGTAATTCTCCGGGGGGTAATTTTCCGGGGGGTAATTGTCCTTGGGGGGTAGTTGTCCTCGGGGGGTGATTCTCCGGGGGGTAATATTCCAGGGGGTAATTGTCCTTTGGGGGTAGTTTTCCGGGGGGTAATTTTCCGGGGGGTGATTGCCCAGGGGATAGTTGTCCTAGAACCCAAATACGTATCGCATTATTTTTGATATCTTAAAATTGGGTCATTCAGACATTAAGAATTGTTATTTATTTTCCTCACTTTGTTAGTGAACTTCTAATGCAAATCTCTTTTCCCATACGTTACCCCATTCGAACAATTTGATGAACACAAGTTATCGAATTTTAAACTCGTCGTTCCCACCCAACCCCCCCCCCCCCTCCCTCCCCCATGTTTTGCTCTCCATTATTTCTTAAATTCTTAGTGTGATTTTGTCATTTCTATCAATTTTCTTTACAACTTTCGCCCTTTTTTCTCTCATTTTCTAAATCATGTTTAACAATTTATGTTTTCTTCAGAATTTGTGTTTGTTAGTTTCCTTGTTTGTTTTTACTTTAAATGAGAGAAACAAACACATATATTGCCAGCCTATCTAGTTAACGGGGGAAATAAGTCTTAATTTAAAAGAAAAAGTTGACCTGATAAAAAAAGAACCAAAAATCAACATAACGAATTAGTGAAAATTAGGAAAAAAATAATAATTCATCTTACAAAAGACAGATTTTCAGGCTGTTAACCTATTACGCGAAATAAAACAATTTTGTTTATTATTTTAAACCTAACTAAATGAAATCATCAGGACGCGACACCAAGCTGTCGCCAACAACAAGACCCTTATCCAATCTGATCTGCTGACAAGAGCCGATCATCTGAACACTCGATTGGAAAGATGAAACCAATTAAGACCATTTTTTAGAATATGAGTGGCTTCATATCCTTCTCTGTAGGATGCAGTAACGAACATGATCAAGGTTCAACAGTCTTTCAATTTTCCGGCTAAAAAATGCAGGTAGGCATACGTGAGGGGATGCATAGAAATAGAAAAATGGGTCAAAGGTATTACAACACGTGAAAATCACGTACAGCAGAAATTATGATTTTGATGGTGATATTATTAGTAATAATATTAATAATGAAAATACAAAAAGTAATAATAATAGTTAGAGAAAAGGTAAAAGTAATAATAAGAATAAGAGAAATTATAGTGATAATGATAATAACAATAATAATAGGAATAATACACTTTGATAAAAATGGAGGTACCCTTTTGTGGCACCGACAGCGTCTTGTATACAAGCTACCATAATTATTGTTATATAGGAGCGCATGGCAATTTTTTTAAATCATGAATATCTATTTCTAATTGACTACCATTTGTCTTCTGGGAATGCCAATTTAAAAAAAAATATTTCCTTCTTTATTTAGGGCTACCAGACTCATCTCCCGTCAGTTGTTTAAAGAATTAGGCTCTTTTACAAAAATATATTTGTCTAATTTACATTTTTCGTATCTATTGAAAAGAACTGCATTTTTGCACCCGGCACCATCCATGTAAGACTGACCTCGTAAAAATATAAACATCCCATTCACAACTCGGTCGTCTCGCTCCCATAGGCTTAATACACGAACCACCCGTTTCACGTAGACAATAGGTTAATAAACATGGTATTTTTCTGTCTGAGCACTGTCTAGACGAAGAAAGCAATATGATTGGCTAGTGCATTATCCAATAGGAACACGCTCTATATCTAGAATTGACTTGATTTGACCATTGTCACGACCTTGCACGATGCTTTGCGAATTATACAGGGACAGAACTTAGAAGTATATCCTGAAATGAAGTTTTGCGTTTGAGCATTCCGGCTTTGCTCGCTGCCAAGTTAGGACCAGTTACAAACAAATAGCTCCGACATTACAACATCATCTGCTAGATCTTTTTGGAGTTGGTTTTGAAGATAAGAAAGGCCATGGCGAACCCTCTTTTGAGTGCCCTCCTGGTGGCTCTTGTAGCCTCAGGTTGTGCTACTTCACCCGAAGGCGGTAAGACACATAATGATCCCTATTACGCCTGTATTAAGACATATTAGACAAGGAAATACTCATGCATGAACAAATTGTTGTCTGCTTCATTTAGGTTTTTGATCAGATTAGCTTAGTTATGTTCTGATGATGTTTTGTTTATGAACGCTTCCCTGCTCGCTTTTGTGGCTGCAGGTTGTGCTGTTTCAATCGCATACGGTAGATTACATGTCCATGTCTTATTTAGTTTTGAACAGATTTGCTCAGTTATATAAACTTGATGAGGATTCCCTAAAACAAATTTAGAGCCATTCAACCGTAATTGTTAATCTCATTACGTGTTTATGATTTAAATTAGAAACCGTATTTTCTTTCGAGTACAATCCAACATGACTTTTACAATTTCCTGTTGATATAATTTGCCTATGCCTTTTCGAGGTTGTGCGTCGAGTTAATATGCTTTTATTGTGTATTTTGTTTGTTTATAGTAATAGCGATACAATTGTTTGTCATGTGTAATCCATCTTTACACTACGTTTAGATACAATTTGCCTTTGAGGTTGGGTTTATAGCTTAAATACTGCCAATTCGTTTGTTTTGCTTTGTGTGTTCTGTTTTATGACAATCCTGCAATGTCAGAATTATACTTCAATGATTTATGTAGATTATAATTTGAATTTGCATTGGGGTGCGCATGTTTGTGTGTGTGCGGCCCTTTTACATGGCAAGTAGCAATATTCATGAATAAATGTCTCTTTTCTTCTAGTCACACTCTTCATTGTGACAGGTAATTATGAGGATATACAAGCGAACAATGGACCCCCCCCCCCCCTCACGATTGAGAGTTATAATAAATAATAATAATAATGAACGTTATTTGTATAGCGCATATCACTCACACAAAGAAAGTCCCTATGCGCTTAAAAATGAAGGAAAAGGGCGGAATAGAAATGAACATTTATACAGTGGGTGATCATTTTAGCTCGCTTCCTTTGTGTAATGTTTTATAAAATCCTCTCGAAAATGTTAATAAAAACCGACCCTTAAAGGTATTACAAGTTTTGACATGGGGGTCATGAACTTGGTTCAAATGAACATATTAGAAGCATACGCGATCCTACAAAAATTCAGTGATCGTCGTATGTTATGTTATGTTGCATAGCTCCCTCTCAAAGTCAAGATATTAACTAAGCTATACACCAATGTTTCTTGACTAAAATCGACCGATTAGCTATTCCCGTTTGGAAATTATATATCACAACTACATATTCATGTAGAGATTGTCATGGTCGCAGCTACCCTTGTACGGCCGTAGGCGCTATTTGAAATTTATTAAAATGTACCGGGAGCAAGTCCGGTAAATTGTTATATTCCATTTTCTCAAAAGCAGAAGTGTTTTATGGGCTAATTTTTCGAGTGCTTTAATATAATACATCCTCAGGGGCATCCAAATATAACAAAATCGTAAAGAATCACTATCCACCCAATTTTCAAAATTTCCCAAAACTTTGTTTTACTTTTACCTTTAATCTTACTTGTTTCACGATTTTGGACCTAACAACACACGAGATAAAAGTGATGGCCTATTTTTGTGTGGCATGTCAGAGAAAGATTGGAACACATTAGGAATGTTTTCCCCTAACATGATAAGACCCATATTTCGCCTCCATAGTTTTAGGCCATTTCTTTCTGCGGAAAAAAGTAGGGAAGAAAAGGAGTTTTCTCCAATGCAAAAGAAAAAAGAAAGAAAACATCACAGGTTCTTTAGCTGATATTGGAATGTGCAATACCCAATGTTAAACTTACGATTAAGCAAAATCATAGCTTGCATTCCGCATACTGGACATTGCAAAACGCTGGCAATAGTTGGAACTTGATATTTCTCGTTTAGCCTAAATAAAGCATTTCTTTCGTAGCACTTTCATGAGTAAGTTGTATATTTTGTTTTACTTGCTTTAATGTAGACCCCGTATGAAGTAAAAACAAAATCTATTTTTTAATCCAATACTCAAAGATGAAAGCCTATTTCCTTTTTTTTCATGGAGTTCTTTAAAATTCAGGAAAGTAAACAACCATTTTAATCTTAACGACATGAATTGGGTACAAATGTCAATCATATTCATGCCTCCATTTTGGAGAGTGTTTATCATGTTTTTTATTTTTCATTTTCGCTCTATTACCCCACAACAATTTATAAAATAAATTTTCATACGCTTTTATCCCTTCAATAGGGCACGATAAAAATTTGAGCTATATATATTATTCTGTCCTACACCTATTAACCTAACCTGAAACTAAATGGCAACCCTTAAACCTATACCACTTGATGTGAAAAAGGCCGGAGCAATTGTCGCTGGAGAAAATATCCCGTTAACGTATCAGAGTTCAAATTGAAACATAAGGCCTTAACAAAAATTAAGATAATGTATTGCCCTTTAGGTGCCAGATCATGGGTCGGTTGGATTTAAAAACAAAAAATTATTTTTTCCACTTAGAAACAGCGACCGTCGCCCAAAATACTCAAAGCCGGGAATGTTGCCCAAATCTTGCTGGTTTCTAGCTTGTGAAGTGCATGGTATATACTCGTAAACGAGACCGGGATCTACCTGTTTACGCTGGCGAATTTCGAAACTAGGGCATATGACGAGTGAAAATGTGGAAATAATTTCATGATTTTATCCATTTGTATGCAATTTATACAAACAAAATCGACATTTTTGTATTTATTAAACATATTTTTAATGGTTAAAACAAAATGTTTTGAAAAGCCGACCGTAGATTTTACAATTTGGGGGTCGGTCGCAAAGGGCAATACAACATATTTTTTTATACGCCAAAGTGTAAAGACATTGGTTTAACATCGGGTTTAATTTTCTTTTAGATCATCATTGCCCTGAGGGTATGACCTTTAACGAGTGCGGCTCAGGTTGTGGCCCGTCCAGCTGTGAAAACCTTCCCAGAGATATTTGTCCCCGGATCTGTCGTGCTGGGTGCTTCTGTCCAGAAGGACTGGTCAAGGATCAAGATGGCGGAGACCGCTGCATACCCTTGGATCATTGCCAAGGTATGGATGCACAATGCTCATGATTTTGTTCTTGTAAAAATCCTATGTTCATTATTTTGTTATATATGAAATGCAAACATATTAATGATAACGGAGTTTTCCAAAGGAATACCGCACCCCCCCCCCCCCCTTTCCTTCCCTTCGGCTGAAAGAGACCAAACTAACCCGACCTTTCTAGGATTAAACTATTCCCCGTAGATCAGATAAAGACCAACAAGTTTCAAACAAGCCTCATTTGCCTCAGTATACATGTGCCATTGCTGTAGACTTTAAAGGTAATACAAAGTTTTGGGAAATTTTGAATATTGGGTGGATAGTGAATCTTTACAATTTTTATATATTTGGATGCCCCTGTGGATATATTATAAGCACTAAAAAGATTAGCCCCTGAAACACTTCTGTTTTCGAGAAAATTGAATATAAACATTAACCGGTGCTCCCGGTAAATTTTGATAAATTTCAAATAGCGCCTATGGCCGTACAATGGTAGCTGCGACCATGAAAATCTCAGAATATGTAGTTGTGATATATAACTTCCAAATGGGAATAGCTAATCGGTCGATTTTAGTTATTATATTGTTTTATAGCTTAATTGATATCTTGACCTTGAGAAGGAGCTATACGACATAAGAAGTTTATTATTCATAATTTCATAATTTTAGACTCGATTTCAACCGCGACAACGATCAATCAACCTTTAAGAATAGAATGTTATTTTCGAACATTTTCACAAACGTCATCGTCTTCCAATCACTACATTTGTGTGGCAATGTTTACTGGTTTAAGCAGCTTATTGCCGAGAAACCGTGCCATTTTCCCCACTGAAATACATTCATGCGTACCAGAACTTTCCCTTTTGACTGGTTTTACTTTTAAAGTTAAGGTAAGGAATCCGGTCGATAGATATTCAGCGTCGCACTTCCAAGTAGTCAACAATGAGTACATAATGTCGGAGTGTTGCATAGCTTTTTTCCTAAACTTGTCCTGCGACAATTTCCTACAAGAAACAATTTCTGCAACCCTGGCCCCAACACTCTACCACAGCCCCTTCCCCTAAAGATATAGGCCTACCTCTAACGAAAAACCAAGCCCAGACCAATGTCACTGGAGAATATATCACGTTAACGTATCAGAGTTCAAATTTAAACATAAGGCCTTAAAGGTAAAAACCAGTTATGGTCATGCGATTGCATTGTGAAAGAAACGTTGTGGAATCGATCAGAAAAGGTTGATCATCTAGCATTTAGCATCTGCAAGGTTCTGGAATCATCAAAATGATACAAAATTTGGCCCATTCTTCGTAAAGTTACAAGCACTATACACAGAAAGATGTATATGGGACTACCCTATATCTCTCACAGACCATGAGAGAAACAAATTTACCAAATATATGAATTAGTAGGCGGATTCCCGGCAAATTTGTTATCATCATGTATTAGTCAAAACATATTCTTTCACATGATTGGTAATGAGAGCTTCCATTTCATTTTTTGAAATTGGGGCGTTTCCAATACTGGTCTTTACCTTTAACAAAAATTAAGATAATGTATTGCCCTTTAGGTGCCAGATCATGGGTCGGTTAGGTGGATTTAAAAACAAACAAAAAATACTTTTTCCACCTCAAAACAGCGACCGTCGCCCCAAATACTCAAAACCGGGAACGTTGCTCAAATCTTGCTGGTTTCTAGCTGGTGCAGTGCATGGAATATTCTCGTAAACAAGGCCGGTGTCTACCTGTTTACGCTGGCAGGATTTCGAAACTAAGGCATATGACGAGCGAAAATGTTGGAATAATTTGATGATTTTATCCATTTGCATGCAATTTATTCAAACAAAATACATATTTTTGTATTCACTAAACATTTTGTTAATGGTTAATGGTATTCAACATGTATTGAAAAGGTGACCGTAGATTTTTACAATTTAGGGGTCGGTCGCAAATGGCAATACAACATACTTTTGTATACGCCAAAGTTTAAAGACATTGGTTAACCATCGGGCTTAATTTTCTTTTAGATCGTCATTGCCCTGATGGTATGGCTTATGACGAGTGCGGCTCAGGTTGTGGCCCGTCCAGCTGTGAAAACCTTCCCAGAGATATTTGTCCCCGGATCTGTCGTGCTGGGTGCTTCTGTCCAGAAGGACTGGTCAAGGATCAAGATGGCGGAGACCGCTGCATACCCTTGGATCATTGCCAAGGTATGGATGCACAATGCTCATGATTTTGTTCTTGTAAAAATCCTATGTTCATTATTTTGTTATATATGAAATGCAAACATATTAATGATAACGGAGTTTTCCAAAGGAATACCACACCCCCCCCCCCCCCTTTCCTTCCCTTCGGCTGAAAGAGACCAAACTAACCCGACCTTTCTAGGATTAAACTATTCCCCTTAGATCAGATAAAGACCAACAAGTTTCAAACAAGCCTCATTTGCCTCAGTATACATGTACCATTGCTGTAGACTTTAAAGGTAATACAAAGTTTTGGGAAATTTAGAAAATTGGGTGGATAGTGAATCTTTACAATTTTTATATATTTGGATGCCCCTGTGGATATATTATAAGCACTAAAAAGATTAGCCCCTGAAACACTTCTGTTTTCGAGAAAATTGAATATAAACATTAACCGGTGCTCCCGGTAAATTTTGATAAATTTCAAATAGCGCCTATGGCCGTACAATGGTAGCTGCGACCATGAAAATCTCAGAATATGTAGTTGTGATATATAACTTCCAAATGGGAATAGCTAATCGGTCGATTTTAGTTATTATATTGTTTTATAGCTTAATTGATATCTTGACCTTGAGAGGGAGCTATACGACATAAGAAGTTTATTATTCATAATTTCATAATTTTAGACTCGATTTCAACCGCGACAACGATCAATGAATAATGAAGGAACGCATACGCTTCCAATATATTAATTTGAACCAAATTCATGACCCCATACCAAAACTTTGTAATACCTTTAAGAATAGAATGTTATTTTCGAACATTTTCACAAACGTTATCGTCTTCCAATCACTACATTTGTGTGGCAATGTTTACTGGTTTAAGCAGCTTATTGCCGAGAAACCGTGCCATTTTCCCCACTGAAATACATTCATGCGTACCAGAACTTTCCCTTTTGACTGGTTTTACTTTTAAAGTTAAGGTAAGGAATCCGGTCGATAGATATTTAGCGTCGCACTTCCAAGTAGTCAACAATGAGTACATAATGTCGGAGTGTTGCATAGCTTTTTTCCTAAACTTGTCCTGCGACAATTTCCTACAAGAAACAATTTCTGCAACCCTGGCCCCAACACTCTACCACAGCCCCTTCCCCTAAAGATATAGGCCTACCTCTAACGAAAAACCAAGCCCAGACCAATGTCACTGGAGAATATATCACGTTAACGTATCAGAGTTCAAATTTAAACACTAGAAATTTAATTCGTCATGGGGACGAATTAGGTGGTCTGTCTTCAAGTCTTATGATAGATTATAATATTTACTATAATGAGAAAGGGAAAAGTTATATAGACATGTAAACAATGATGATCATCATGATGATCATGATGATGATGATCTTGGTAGTAATGGTGATGACGATGATGATGATCATGATGATCATGATGATGTTGATGATTATCATCAACAGACTACGATGACAGACTGAAAAACATGAGAGAACATTCAGATAGTATATAATCTCAGCTACAACATACTCAAAAATCAACAAAAATCAAGCCGAAATAACGGCGATATTGCTCGCAAAAGACAAGAATGTAGAATCAAGATTTGAGAAAAAGTCATCTTCCATAAGGATTGCACGCAAAAAGTAATGGATGTAGTGATAATAGGGTAATAATAAAGTAAATATGGTTGTTTATTACATTATTTGCGATTGTACGTGTTTTAATATTCAAAGGAGATGGTAGAGTGAAAGGTCAAAAAGAAAAAAAAGTGAAGAAAAAAAATTGTTGGAGACGCCCGGACTCGAACCAGGGACCTCGAGGTCGGAAGTCAAGTGAGTTACCGATATACCAAAACATTTCCCTTAGAGATTACACGTAAACGGAAAATGGAATTATCAAATCCCACTTTGTAAGTGAAATATGAGCATGATCCCGGCATCTGATCGAAAAATAAAGGGCACACTTGTGATAGCTTATTTTCTCAGGTACAACATACTCAAAGCTCAGCGTAAACAAAGATAAAAGGACGGAGACATGGGTCTGATTGTGACGTCACAATAGAGTTCATCTATGGTGCGCATTTTGTTATACGCGTAATATACATTGTCATTGTTACCAGCAGCTGGTGCGCGATGTTATTTACAACTGGCTCGATTATTTCTCACGAGTTTGACACGCAAAAAATTGTGGGGTAAACTTGCATCATAAAGAGCTATAATGTATTTTGTATAGGCATGTTTTTGACCATATATGCTATGTATTACAAGAGCTCGCACGCACAGACATTTAAGTTAAACGGACGCTCATTTCCTTATTAATGGTCATAAAGAGATAAACATGGTATCGAATTGATCGGAAAAAATGGGAAATACTATGATAGACAAAAAATGACTATTTAAGGTTGCGTTCGACCATTACGAACAAAAACGTGCGCGCAAATTTTTGCGCGCGGAAAGGTGTGCGCACGCAAAATTCTCGAAATGCTTGAAATGGCCTAAAACGTACTCTAATTTGATCAAAAAGTGATAATGAGCATTTTTTGTTTTTGCGCGCACCGACGCGCGGACGGACGCGTACGCGCGCGTTTATTGACCTAAGTTGACCGGACGGATATTGACCATAATCGTTATAAATATGAATGAAAAATGATTTACGGTTGTGAAGATATGATCATTAGTTGATTCTCAGAGCACTTCACAAAATGGCGCCTAGATGACGTCATGATATTTTGATGAACTTGAAAATGTTCCTGTCACGTCTTAAGATGATGACCTATAACTGTGTTGAATTTGAAAGAAATTGGACGGTTCAATTTTGAGTAATCGTGCACACAAAAAAGTGGTCACAAATTTATTTTAATTGAATTGTGTTTTTGTACAAATTCAATTAAAATACTAGAAATTTAATTCGTCATGGGGACGATTTAGGTAGTCTGTGTTCAATTTTCATGATCATTGACAAGTCAAAAAGTAAAAAAAATTGAAGAAAAAAAATTGTTGGAGACGCCCGGACTCGATCCAGGGACCTCGAGGTCGAAAGTCAAGTGCGTTACCGATATACCAAAACATTTCCCATAGAGATTACACGTAAACGGAAAATGGAATCCTCAAATCCCACATTCCAAGTGAAATATGAGCATGATCCCGGCATCTGATCGAAAAATAAAGGGTACACTTTTGATAGCTTATTGTCTCAGCTACAACCTACTCAAAGCTCAGCGTAAACAAAGATAAAACGACGGAGATATTGCTCGCGAAAGACGAGAATGTAGAATCCAGTTTTGAGAAAAAGTCATGTCCCATAGAGAATACACGCAAAATGAGAAAAATTGACATGCCTCCTTTAATCGCAAAAATACGCAATGATACCATTGTCAAAATGAATTATCGTGGTGACTGCATTTGTAGACAATATTCTCAGGTAGAACATATCAAAATTTGGAAGAAAATTAATCAATATTAACAGAGATACAATCAATTTTACAAAAATATGCTGACGTCATAATATGCAAATTGATATTTTGAGTTCGGAGGCCATTATGATGACGTCATGAGTTAATTGAGGGTCAAATGACACATGAAATCATATCTCCAACTCATGTTTTTTCGAACCATGATATAAAAATTGGGGTCAATGGACTATCTGAAGAGCTATTTTGATTTTTAATATTGGATGTTTTTGATCAAATTTGCATTATATTGCCCATAGCAGCACGCGCGGATTTTGAACTTTGACGCGCGCTCACGGTCTTATGAAAGGTCAAGAGTGACTGAAATTAATGTAAATTGTCATTTACGGTAAGAGGAATCTAAATCATGTAAACAAATTGAATTTGACCTTTTACGCGCGTTGTGAGCGCGCGCAACGCGCGCGGGGACACTTACGGACGGAAAATTTTGAAATGCTTAAAATGACCTGATTCGTATTCTCGTTTAATAGTTAAGTGATTTTGAGCATTTTTAAATTTTGACGCACGCGTACGCGCGCGTCATGACCTTTATGTGACCTTTGATGACATGACCTGTTGACCCTTAACCTTAAGTATATGTGATATAAATATGAATGACCTTTGCTTATGCATCATGGAGATATGATGGATAACGTGATTTTACAAAATGGCGCCTGGATGACGTCACGATAATCTGATGACCTTGGAAATGTTCCTGTCACGTCTCATGACAATGACCTATGACTGTGTCAAAATTGAAAGAAATTAACCCAACCGATCTTGAGTTAACCGATAAACAAAAAACGGGAAGAAATAAAAATAAAGAATAATAAATAAATAAATAAATAAATAAAGAAAGAAAATTCTGACGAAAACAATAGGTGATCTGTCGAAAACGACAGACCACCTAATAAGGCCTTAAAGGTAAAAACCAGTTATGGTCATGCGATTGCATTGTGAAAGAAACGTTGTGGAATCGATCAGAAAAGGTTGATCATCTAGCATTTAGCATCTGCAAGGTTCTGGAATCATCAAAATGATACAAAATTTGGCCCATTCTTCGTAAAGTTACAAGCACTATACACAGAAAGATGTATATGGGACTACCCTATATCTCTCACAGACCATGAGAGAAACAAATTTACCAAATATATGAATTAGTAGGCGGATTCCCGGCAAATTTGTTATCATCATGTATTAGTCAAAACATATTCTTTCACATGATTGGTAATGAGAGCTTCCATTTCATTTTTTGAAATTGGGGCGTTTCCAATACTGGTCTTTACCTTTAACAAAAATTAAGATAATGTATTGCCCTGATGATTTTATCCATTTGTATGCAATTTATTCAAACAAAATACATATTTTTGTATTCACTAAACATTTTGTTAATGGTATTTAAAAAAACATGTATTGAAAAGGTGACCGTAGATTTTTACAATTTAGGGGTCGGTCGCAAATGGCAATACAACATACTTTTGTATACGCCAAAGTTTAAAGACATTGGTTAACCATCGGGTTTGATTTTCTTTTAGATCGTCATTGCCCTGATGGTATGGCTTATGACGAGTGCGGCTCAGGTTGTGGCCCGTTCAGCTGTGATAACCTTCCTAGGTATATGTGTCCTCGGATCTGTCGTGCTGGGTGCTTCTGTCCAGAAGGACTGGTCAAGGATCAAGATGGCGGAGACCGCTGCATACCCTTGGATCAGTGCCAAGGTATGCATATATCTTTCAGCGAGAAAAATCCTGATTTCATTATTTTCTAACGTAAAATACAATAATAATAATAGCAACAGGTTGTTCGACATTTACCATGAATACAAATTGATATGTATGTAAATAAATATGATTGTTTGCTTTAGAACCTCATGGAAAAACAGGACTATTTTGAAAATGGTACTGTAATGGGCATTTAAACAGTTTGTTTTTACTTTTACTTACTTTCATATCATTTGAAGTGTGCGTTATATGAATGTTATTAAAACGTGTATGTTTATATGGATTTCTGAAATTCATAAAAACAAACAATGTACAGCTGTCAGCTCAGGCAATCATCATGGTGCTTGCTCCGAACTACATACATATCAACTAAACTCTATACGGTGCATTGCTCGTTTATTTATATATTTAATTAAATCTGCCGTGTTCAATCAATATAGTCAATCAATGAAAGGAAGTTACCCGTGGGCCAATAGGGCTATGACGGGAACGACTAAACAGGTTTGTTGACGAAAAAAGGATTGTCACTATGTTGTTTTAATTTCGCTCTTTCACTTATTATTTAAAAAGTAAACATATATTTCGTTATCATCCAAAGTCTTGGGAAAGAAGACAATGGCTGTTTCGTTTTCTTCATCTCACAATTCTAGGTTCCGGCACAGGAGCCATACGTCTGGTTGGTGGAAGCAACGAAGCAGAAGGAAGGGTTGAGATCCATTATAACGGAGTCTGGGGAACTATCTGTGATGACTCATGGGGTATCACCGATGCCAGTGTTGTCTGTCGCATGCTAGGATTCCAGGGGGCTTCTGGAGCTCCAGGATCAGCTCATTTCGGACAAGGCACTGGTCCCATTCAACTAGATGATGTTCGCTGTAGAGGAGCTGAACAGACTATCTTTGACTGTTTTCACCTTCCTTTCGGTGTTCACAATTGTTTTCATAGTGAAGATGCCGGAGTAGTTTGCAATGCTCCAGGAGGTACAGAAGGAGGTAAATAGTCGTTATCAGGCTCACTCAAAAAGTTTTTAAAAGGTTCCATGTCGTTTTACGAAATGTACATGATTCCGCAGGTTGTTTACTCTGTATGTTCGCAATGCATAATGTTCGTTTTTCTGAAGGGTTATAATTTCGGAAGTTTGTAATTCCGAAAATGACCTCGAACCATTTGGGGTTTTTAGGAATTACAAACCTTCTGATTGACGGACCATAATTCTCTTTACGAATTATGAACCCTCGGAAATACAAACTTTCTGAAAAGCTTGTCAAGTGTTCAGAAAGATAAACCCTAATTCATTTTCGAAACTATGATTGCACAGATTGGGGATATTTCTGTTTCTCATGTACACAACTTTGGAATTATGAACTTTCGTAAAAACCAAAGTTCGAAAAATTAACGTCGCCAAGTATCATCACTTATATGTAAAGTAGATTCCTTTCATCCCAAATCAGGATCCAATTGTACTCATATTTCATATTAATTTAAATTTCAAAAATGGTTTATTACCTAAAACAAAAAAGTATTTGGTACTTAGATTTATTATTTTTCAAGAAAAGAAGAACGATTATTAATACGGACATGAGAAAATTGCATATTAAATATCATTTGTAAAATACATCTATTCTTCATTTTATAAACAAGACAGTCTTAAGATAAGCGGGCACTAGTAATCCTAAATCCTTGGGTGAGAATATTTAAAACTTCCAAACGTGTATCCAGTATGTTATCCTTATCCCAATTTGTACACAACTTAAGTATTTTGTTCAATAACAACTAAAGGTTTTGTTCGGAGTTTGTGATGAACGCAGAATATTTGTTAGTATTGCTTTGACGCGGTACTCATAATGTTTACGTTTCGATTTTTAATATAAAGAATGGTAATAAGTATTACCACTTGATTTCATCTTTTAGATGTGCGTCTGGTTGGTGGAAGCAACGAAGCAGAAGGAAGGGTTGAGATCCAGTATAACGGAGTCTGGGGAACTATCTGTGATGACTCATGGGGTATCACCGATGCCAGTGTTGTCTGCCGCATGCTAGGATTCCAGGGGGCTTCTGGAGCTCCAGGATCAGCTCATTTCGGACAAGGCACTGGTCCCATTCAACTAGATGACGTAGGCTGTACAGGAGCTGAGCAGACTATCTTTGACTGTGCCCACCCTGCTTTTGGTGTTCACAATTGTGCTCATTATGAAGATGCCGGAGTAGTTTGCATTGCTTCACAAGGTACAGGACAAGTTAGAAATTTTCCCGAATTTATATAATTCTATGTTTCGTTACTCTATATTCGTAATGCCAAATGTACGTTTCTGTAAGGGTCCATGATTGTGTAGTTTCGTAATTCGGAAAGTGAAATAGGGTTACTATCGTAAAAAACAAAGTTCTGAAAAGGAGGGTTTCCAATAATCAACACTTATATGTCACACGTATAACCTTTTTTCCGAAATCAGGATCCAATTCTACTTATACTTCAACTCAGTTCAAATATAAAAAATGGTTTATAAATCAAATCAAAACCATATCTCTTACATAGACTTTTTATTTTTCACAAAAAGCAGGGCGATTATCAATACCAACATGACAAAATTGCATATATAATATCATTTGTTTAATACATCTATTCATTTTTTTTATATACACAAAAATTATTATAATAAGAGGGCACTAGTAATCCTAAATCCTTGGGTGAGAACATTTAAAACTTCCAAACGTGTATCCAGTATGTTATCCTTATCCCAATTTTTACACAACTTAAGTATTTTGTTCAATAACAACTAAAGGTTTTGTTCGGAGTTTGTGATGAACGCAGAATATTTGTTAGTATTGCTTTGACGCGATGCTCATAATTATTACGTTTCATTTTTCAAAATATAGAGAAGGGTTATGAGTATAAGCATTTGATTTAATCTTTTCAGGCGTACGTCTTCCAATCACTCCATATGTGTAGAAATCGTTACTGCTTTAAAAGTAATACAAAGTTTTGGTATGGGGTCATGAATTTGGTTCAAATGAACATATTGGAAGCACATGTGATTTTACAATATTCAGTTATCGTTGTCGCGGTTGAAATATATTCTAAAGTAATGAAATTGTAAATAATAAACTCCTTATGTTGTACAGCTCCCTCTCAAGATCAATTTAGCTATTAAACAATGTTTCCTGACAAAAATCGACCGATTGGCTATTTCCGTTTGGAAATTTTATGACTTTACTGCATATTCTGAGATTTTTATGATCGTAGCTACCATTGGATGGCCGTTGGCGCTATTTGAAATATATAAAAATTTACCGGGAGCACCGGAAAATTTGTATATTTAATTTTTGTCGAAAGTAAAAACGTTTTAGGGGCTACATTTTCTAGTGCTTATATTACATCCACAGCGACATCCAAATTTATCAAAATTGTAAACAATCACTATCCAGCCAATTTTCAAAATTACCAAAACTTTGTAATACCTTTAAGCAGCTTATTAACGGGAGACGGTGCCCCCTTTCCCACTGATATACTTTGTGCATACCAGAACTTTTACTTTTGAACTGAGGTACGTTTAAAGACTGGTATTTGTGTGCTCAAAAACGTTTATGTTTTGAAATTATTTCGTGTAATTAAACTAAATTTACCCATTGTTTTGGAACATTTAGCTTCCATTGAAATTACAATTAGACCGTCAAGGAAAAAGTTTTAAAACACCTGGTCTAGTGGATACGTCACCAGACTATATATCACATAGTGCGTGGTTCGCGTCCCATCGCGGAAATAATGCCCTTTGACAAGATATTAATCTTGTGTTCCACTCTCTATCCAGGTAGTACATGGGTACCCGGTAGGATGAGAACGTAAATGTGGTAGGATTGGCATGTACAAAATGACGCCTGGCCGGGACTATCTTTTAGACAAAGAGAACGCAATTTTAATTGAAGATTAGCCTTAGGAAGAATTAACCGCGGTAATAGTAATGTTCCAATGTAAAGTGCCTTAAAATGTAATTTTAATAAGTACTATACATTCGTGAATATTATCACCATTGTTTTCAACCGTAAGATTAAATTACAACATTTTCTTTGACAGGTGATCCTTTAAACTGCCCGGTGACAGGAGAATGGTTCGTGGACTGGGATGCTTCTTACGAGTGTCTCTCACAGCTCCCTCAGTCTAACCCTTTTGCTGTTCCTGGTCAGATCCTTCCTCTCCTGACAGTTACAGATATGATCCAAGCCGCAGGAGCTGCCTGGACGGCTGACAACCTGATCGAGGCTGAAGGAGAAATATGTGTAAGGATCATGCCCCAACTGGGCGCGGCCGCATTTGGAGCAGATATCTTCAGACAGTACTGTGATCCTGTGCTGACGTCCTTGAGGGAAGGGACAACGCTTAATGCTGAGGAACACTGCAGGCTTATTTTGAACTTGACAGGATTCATGACCACAATTATGTCAGCACCAACTACCCCTCAGCCAGACGGACCAACCGCGGAACCCGATTATCCTTTAGGGATCTTTGCATTACGACCTTTCGATTTTGAGGGTGAGCTTGAAAGCATTGTTGCTGACCAGTTTGGGGTGTCCATTTACGACGTTGACAACATCTGTAGGGCTCGACAATTCGTTGTGGATGCTGGCTCGACTTTGGAGGAACTGGTCACCGATTTCCTAGAAGCTTTTGTTGAAGTACTGATACCCAGAGCTGCAGAGATATGCAATAGTTGGAATGACATTATTGTTGCACTTGAGGCTTCTTCATCGGGTAACTTTTCAATGGGTTCGGACTTCAATATTCGTGGCTACCTGAATGATGTGTCTGATTTTGTTGCACGTTGGGCAGGATATGAAAGCAGAGAGGCCATGTGCCAACGTTTGAGTGAAACTCGTGGTGACTCAGGAATTCCAGCACTCCTTGATAATATAGCTGCTGATGTTGTGGACAGTATTCTCTCAGTTTTGACCGATGCCCAGCAGTGTTCCACTATAGTCCAGGAGGGATTAGACCTGGCCTTGACGTACATTCCCGGTCTTGATCCATATGCACTTAATCTTCAAATATATCAGATTACAGGGATGAATGGCACTAATCAACTCTGCCAGGTAGTTGCCGACGCATTCCAGCCGGGAGGTAAGAAATTATGTCAGAAGATGTTTACCGTCAGACCTCTTCTAAGTTCGATATGCATAATTATGTCGGAGTGCTGTACAGCTTTTTTCCTACACTTGTCCTGCGTCAATTTCCTCCAACAAATCATTTATTCAACCCTGGTCTCAACACCCTACCTCACCCTCACCTTAAACCTATACTAAAAACGAATTCAACCCTTACCCTATACCTCTAACGATAACAAAACCCAGGGGTATTTTCGCATGAGGAGATGTCAGGTAATCGTATCGGAGTTCAAATGTAGACATAAGTCTGTCTACAGAAATGTATTAACCATCGGGCTTAATTTTCTTTTAGATCATCATTGCCCTGAGGGTATGACCTTTAACGAGTGCGGCTCAGGTTGTGGCCCGGGCAGCTGTGACAACCTAGTTCCCAGAGATATCTGTCCTCTATTCTGTTTTGTTGGATGCTTCTGTCCAGAAGGACTGGTCAAGGATCAAGATGGCGGAGACCGCTGCATACCCGTGGATCAGTGCCAAGGTATGGATGCACAATATTCATGATTTTGTTTTATGTGGAAATATTATGCACATTATGTTGTATATCGGCTGAGAGAGTACCAAACTAAACCGGCCTTCTAGGGTTTAACTGTTACAAATCCCCTTAGATCAGATATAGACCAACAAGTTTTAAACAAGCCTCATTTGCCTCAGTATACATGTGCCGTTACTGTAGACTTTAAGAATAGAATGTCATCTCCGAACATTTACAAAAATGCCTTCGTCTTCCAATCTCTCCATTTGTGTGGCAATGTTTACTTGTTTAAGCAGCTTATTGCCGAGAAACAGTGCCACTTTTCCCACTGAAATACATTCATGCATACCAGAATTTTTCCTTTTTACTGGCTGAAAACTAATGTAAGGAATCCGGTTGAAAGATATTTAGCGTCGAGCTTCCAAGTAGTCAACAATGACCCAAAGCCTATTTCGAGTTCAATCTACATATGTCGGGGCGTTGTACCACATGTCTTCCTAAACTTGTCCTGCGTCGATTTGCAAGAAACAATTTCTGCAACCCTGGCCCCAACTCTCTACATCAGCCCCTTTCCCTAAACATATAGGCCAACCTCTAACGAAAACCAAACCCAGAGCAATTGTCGCAGGAGAAAATGTCAGGTGAACGTATCGGAGTTCAAATTTAAACATAAGGCCTAAACAAAAAAAGATGTTGTAGTGCCCTTTAGGTGCCAGATCATGGATCGATTGGTTTGATTTGTTTATTTTTTGTTAAACTTTTTTTTCCCAACTCAAAACAGCGACCGTCGCCCCAAAAACTCAAAACCGGGAACGTTGTCCAAATCTTGCTTGTTTCTAGCTGGTGTAGTGCATGGTGTTTACCCGTAAACGAGGCCGGTGTCTACTTATTTACGCTAGCAGGATTTCGAAACTAGGGAAGAAGACAAGTGAAAATATGGGAATATTTGATGATTTTATTCACTTGTATGCAATTTAAACAAACAAAATACATAGCTTTTTTTATTCACTATTTTTTTTTAATGGTTTAAAGAAACATACTTCATTGAAAAGCCGACTGTAGATTTTTGGGTCGGACGCAAAGGGCAATACAACGCTTTTTTTAACACCAAAATGTACAGACATTGGTTAGCCATCGGGCTTAATTTTTATGTAGATCATCATTATCCGCTCATTGCTCTTGTTGTTGTTGTTTTTGCCAATATTTTTTTTTTATTTGGCTTATTTTTTTGTAGACTATTGCGATGACGTTATCGTGAATTGTCTCGTAAATCCCTGTGATGTTTCCGTGTGTTCAGCTTACCCTGATGCTGAGTGCCGGTAAGCATACACTGTTTCGCATTAAAGTATGTTCTGTAATAATTTTAGATATCACGCAGTTAACTGCCAATTTAAAGTGCTGATGTATAGTGATTACAACTTTCAAATCGCATAACTTTCTTTTTTTTCGCTGTCATTCGGACTAAATCCAGTCTGCTTCTCTAATTTTTCTGCTTTAATCTAGACATGAATTTAAGACTACAGAACTGTTTTCATTAAGATTGGATTTTCCTTTAAATGTAAAGACCAGTTTTGGAAACGTCTCCCTCTCAAAATATGAAATGGAAGCTCTTATTACCAATCATGTGAAAGAATATGTTTTGACTAATACGTGATGATATATATTTTGCCGGGAAACCAATGGCAGATTATTTCGTAATTTCCATTTAATTCAATAAATATCAGTAGAAATACCATTACAAAACATGCTTCGTCTACGATAGACGCAATGTACTTAGAATATTCACTGAAAGTATATATCATGAATTTAGATCATGAATTCTGAGTGAGATTTAAGTTAGATGTGGATGCATTAAATGCGACCGACTCATTGGAATACGTAGATGTCAACGTATGGGACTGTAATGAAAATAAACAACGAAAAAGGTGTAAATGTACGATCTCTAAAAATAACTTTACCGAAAGCTGCATTATATTAATACAAATATTCAGATATCAAAAATACTTTTTCTAACATTTTATTTAATCAGTTTTATCAGTTTTCGTGATCCAGTAGCCGTAGCAGGGGCTTTCTGGCAAACCAAAGGTGTTGCAAAACAAGAAAATTGCGTTATGCTAGAAGGGCGCTAACTAAGCGCGCGTACGATACGGCAGGTTAAGGCCCGTTTGGCATAACGCCGCGTAGGTTACGGCCCTTTTGGCATAAATACGCTACACTAAAGCCGTATTATTAGAGAGGCCAAAACTTTGAACGCGATTATCTCGGAATGGCCAAAAGCAGTTAAGGCCCTTTTGGCATAAGGCCGACGATATTTGGTAAATTATTATATCTATCCGGACCGGATAGAAAGCGCGTACGTGTCGCGTAGTCCACTATAGATCTTTGTGTGTACAGTGCTTGTAACTTTACCAAGACTGGGCCAAATTTCTTATCATTTTGATGATTCTAGAACCTTGCAGTACAAACCAATACTTATATGGATAGATGATCAACCTTTTCTGATCGATTTCACAACGTTTCTTTCACAATACAACCGGTCTTTACCTTTAAATTTGCTTCCATTTTACAGATCAAACTACTGCGGCGGATGTAACGCTGATTTTTACGTTGATGACGTCCAAGTGAACTGTTCAACATGCCCCGAGGGTATGGCCTTTAACGAATGCGGCTCAGGTTGTGGCCCGTTCAGCTGTGATAACCTTCCCAGTGATATCTGTCCTCGGATCTGTAGTGCTGGGTGCTTCTGTCCAGAAGGACTGGTCAAGGATCAAGATGGCGGAGACCGCTGCATACCCTTGGATCAGTGCCAAGGTATGCATATATCTTTCAGCGAGAAAAATCCTGATTTCATTATTTTTTAACGTAAAATGCAATAATAATAATAGTAACAGGTTGTTCTACATTTACCATGAATACAAATTGATATGTATGTAAATAAATATGATTGTTTGCTTTAGAACCTCATGGAAAAACAGGACTATTTTGAAAATGGTACTGTAATGGGCATTTAAACAGTTTGTTTTTACTTTTACTTACTTTCATATCATTTGAAGTGTGCGTTATATGAATGTTATTAAAACGTGTATGTTTATATGGATTTCTGAAATTCATAAAAACAAACAATGTACAGCTGTCAGCTCAGGCAATCATCATGGCGCTTGCTCCAAATTACATACATATCAACTAAACTCTATACGGTGCAATGCTCGTTTATTTATATATTTAATTAAATCTGCCGTGTTCAATCAATATAGTCAATCAATGAAAGGAAGTTACCCGTGGGCCAATAGGGCTATGACGGGAACGACTAAACAGGTTTGTTGACGAAAAAAGGATTGTCACTATGTTGTTTTAATTTCGCTCTTTCACTTATTATTTAAAAAGTAAACATATATTTCGTTATCATCCAAAGTCTTGGGAAAGAAGACAATGGCTGTTTCGTTTTCTTCATCTCACAATTCTAGGTTCTGGCACAGGAGCCATACGTCTGGTTGGTGGAAGCAACGAAGCAGAAGGAAGGGTTGAGATCCAGTATAACGGAGTCTGGGGAACTATCTGTGATGACTCATGGGGTATCACCGATGCCAATGTTGTCTGTCGCATGCTAGGATTCCAGGGGGCTTCTGGAGCTCCAGGATCAGCTCATTTCGGACAAGGCACTGGTCCCATTCAACTAGATGACGTTCGCTGTAGAGGAGCTGAACAGACTATCTTTGACTGTTTTCACCTTCCTTTCGGTGTTCACAATTGTTTTCATAGTGAAGATGCCGGAGTAGTTTGCAATGCTCCAGGAGGTACAGAAGGAGGTAAATAGTCGTTATCAGGCTCACTCAAAAAGTTTTTAAAAGGTTCCATGTCGTTTTACGAAATGTACATGATTCCGCAGGTTGTTTACTCTGTATGTTCGCAATGCATAATGTTCGTTTTTCTGAAGGTTTATAATTTCGGAAGTTTGTAATTCCGAAAATGACCTCGAACCATTTGGGGTTTTTAGGAATTACAAACCTTCTGATTGACGGACCATAATTCTCTTTACGAATTATGAACCCTCGGAAATACAAACTTTCTGAAAAGCTTGTCAAGTGTTCAGAAAGATAAACCCTAATTCATTATCGAAACTATGATTGCACAGATTGGGGATATTTCTGTTTCTCATGTACACAACTTTGGAATTATGAACTTTCGTAAAAACCAAAGTTCGAAAAATTAACGTCGCCAAGTATCATCACTTATATGTAAAGTAGATTCCTTTCATCCCAAATCAGGATCCAATTGTACTCATATTTCATATTAATTTAAATTTCAAAAATGGTTTATTACCTAAAACAAAAAAGTATTTGGTACTTAGATTTATTATTTTTCAAGAAAAGAAGAACGATTATTAATACGGACATGAGAAAATTGCATATTTAATATCATTTGTAAAATACATCTATTCTTCATTTTATAAACAAGACAGTCTTAAGATAAGCGGGCACTAGTAATCCTAAATCCTTGGGTGAGAACATTTAAAACTTCCAAACGTGTATCCAGTATGTTATCCTTATCCCAATTTGTACACAACTTAAGTATTTTGTTCAATAACAACTAAAGATTTTGTTCGGAGTTTGTGATGAACGCAGAATATTTGTTAGTATTGCTTTGACGCGGTACTCATAATGTTTACGTTTCGATTTTTAATATAAAGAATGGTAATAAGTATTACCACTTGATTTCATCTTTTAGATGTGCGTCTGGTTGGTGGAAGCAACGAAGCAGAAGGAAGGGTTGAAATCCAGTATAACGGAGTCTGGGGAACTATCTGTGATGACTCATGGGATATCACCGATGCCAGTGTTGTCTGCCGCATGCTAGGATTCCAGGGGGCTTCTGGAGCTCCAGGATCAGCTCATTTCGGACAAGGCACTGGTCCCATTCAACTAGATGACGTAGGCTGTACAGGAGCTGAGCAGACTATCTTTGACTGTGCCCATCCTGCTTTTGGTGTTCACAATTGTGCTCATTATGAAGATGCCGGAGTAGTTTGCATTGCTTCACAAGGTACAGGACAAGTTAGAAATTTTCCCGAATTTATATAATTCTATGTTTCGTTACTCTATATTCGTAATGCCAAATGTACGTTTCTGTAATTGTCCATGATTGTGTAGTTTCGTAATTCAGAAAGTGAAATAGGGTTACTATCGTAAAAAACAAGTTCTGAAAAGGAGGGTATCCAATAATCAACACTATACTTAGATCGTTGTCGCGATTGAAATATATTCTAAAGTAATGAAATTGTAAATAATAAACTCCTTAGTTGTATAGCTCCCTCTCAGGATCAATTTAGCTATTAAACAATGTTTCCTGACAAAAATCAACCGATTGGCTATTCCCGTTTGGAAATTATATGACTTAACTGCATATTCTGAGATTTTTATGATCGTAGCTACCATTGGATGGCCGTTGGCGCTATTTAGTAAAAACCGTTTTAGGGGCTACATTCGTTAGTGCTTATATTACATCCACAGCGGCATCCAAATTTATCAAAATTGTAAACAATCGCTATCCAGCCAATTTTCAAAATTACCAAAACTTTGTAATACCTTTAAGCAGCTTATTAACGGGAGACGGTGCCCCCTTTCCCACTGATATACTTTGTGCATACCAGAACTTTTACTTCTGAACTGAGGTACGTTTTAAGACTGGTATTTGTGTGCTCAAAAACGTTTATGTTTTGAAATTATTTCGTGTAATTAAACTAAATTTACCCATTGTTTTGGAACATTTAGCTTCCATTGAAATTACAATTAGACCGTCAAGGAAAAAGTTTTAAAACACGTGGTCTAGTGGATACGTCACCAGACTATATATCACATAGTTTGTGGTTCGAGTCCCATCGCGGCACTAATGCCCTTTGACAAGACATTAATCTTGTGTTCCATTCTCTATCCAGGTAGTACATGGGTACCCGGGAGGATGAGAAGGTAAATGTGGTAGGATTGGCATGTACAAAATGACGCCTGGCCGGGACTATCTTTTAGACAAAGAGAACGCATTTTTAATTGAAGATTAGCCTTAGGAAGAATTAACCGCGGTAATAGTAATGTTCCAATGTAAAGTGCTTAAAAATGTAATTTTAATAAGTACTATACATTCGTGAATATTATCACCATTGTTTTCAACCGTAAGATTAAATTACAACATTTTCTTTGACAGGTGATCCTTTAAACTGCCCGGTGACAGGAGAATGGTTCGTGGACTGGGATGCCTCTTACGAGTGTCTCTCACAGCTCCCTCAGTCTAACCCTTTTGCTGTTCGTGGTCAGATCCTTCCTCTCCTGACAGTTACAGATGTCATCCAAGCCGCAGGAGCTGCCTGGACGGCTAACAACCTGATCGAGGCTGAAGGTGAAATTTGTGTAAGGATCATGCCCCAACTAAACGCAGCCGCATTTGAAGCAGATGTCTTCAGACAGTACTGTGATCCTGTGCTGACGTCCTTGAGGGAAGGGACAACGCTTGATGCTGAGGAACACTGCAGGCTTATTTTTAACTTGACAGGATTCATGACCACAGTTATGTCAGCACCAACTACCCCTCAGCCAGACGGACCAACCGCGGAACCCGACTATCCTTTAGGGATCTTTGCATTACGACCTTTCGATTTTGAGGGTGAGCTTGAAGGCATTGTTGCTGACCAGTTTGGGGTGTCCATTTACGACGTTGACAACATCTGTAGGGCTCGACAATTCGTTGTGGATGCTGGCTCGACTTTGGAGGAACTGGTCACCGATTTCCTAGAAGCTTTTGTTGAAGTACTGATACCCAGAGCTGCAGAGATATGCAATAGTTGGAATGACATTATTGATGCACTTGAGGCTTCTTCATCGGGTAACTTTTCAATGGGTTCGGACTTCAATATTCGTGGCTACCTGAATGATGCGTCTGATTTTGTTGCACGTTGGGCAGGATATGAAAGCAGAGAGGCCATGTGCCAACGTTTGAGTGAAACTCGTGGTGACTCAGGAATTCCATTACGCCTTGATGATATAGCTGCTGATGTTGTGGACAGTATTCTCTCAGTTTTGACCGATGCCCAGCAGTGTTCCACTATAGTCCAGGAGGGATTAGACCTGGCCTTGACGTACATTCCCGGTCTTGATCCATATGCACTTAATCTTCAAATATATCAGATTACAGGGATGAATGGCACTAATCAACTCTGCCAGGTAGTTGCCGACGCATTCCAGCCGGGAGGTAAGAAATTATGTCAGAAGATGTTTACCGTCAGACCTCTTCTAAGTTCGATATGCATAATTATGTCGGAGTGCTGTAGAGCTTTTTTTCCTACACTTGTCCTGCGTCAATTTCCTCCAACAAATCATTTATTCAACCCTGGTCTCAACATCCTACCTCACCCTCACCTTAAACCTATACTAAAAACGAATTCAACCCTTACCCTATACCTCTAACGATAACAAAACCCAGGGGTATTTTCGCATGAGGAGATGTCAGGTAATCGTATCGGAGTTCAAATGTAGACATAAGTCTGTCTACAGAAATTTGTTAACCATCGGGCTTAATTTTCTTTTAGATCATCATTGCCCTGAGGGTATGACCTTTAACGAGTGCGGCTCAGGTTGTGGCCCGGGCAGCTGTGACAACCTAGTTCCCAATGATATATGTCCTCTATTCTGTTTTGCTGGATGCTTCTGTCCAGAAGGACTGGTCAAGGATCAAGATGGCGGAGACCGCTGCATACCCGTGGATCAGTGCCAAGCTATGGATGCACAATATTCATGATTTTGTTTTATGTGGAAATATTATGCACATTATGTTGTATATCGGCTGAGAGAGTACCAAACTAAACCGGCCTTCTAGGGTTTAACTGTTACAAATCCCCTTAGATCAGATATAGACCAACAAGTTTTAAACAAGCCTCATTTGCCTCAGCATACATGTGCCATTACTGTAGACTTTAAGAATAGAATGTCATCTCCGAACATTTACAAAAATGCCTTCGTCTTCCAATCACTCCATTTGTGTGGCAATGTTTACTTGTTTAAGCAGCTTATTGCCGAGAAACAGTGCCACTTTTCCCACTGAAATACATTCATGCATACCAGAATTTTTCCTTTTTACTGGCTGAAAACTAATGTAAGGAATCCGGTTGAAAGATATTTAGCGTCGAGCTTCCAAGTAGTCAACAATGACACAAAGCCTATTTCGAGTTCAATCTACATATGTCGGGGCGCTGTACCACATGTCTTCCTAAACTTGTCCTGCGTCGATTTGCAAGAAACAATTTCTGCAACCCTGGCCCCAACTCTCTACATCAGCCCCTTTCCCTAAACATATAGGCCTACCTCTAACGAAAACCAAACCCAGAGCAATTGTCGCAGGAGAAAATGTCAGGTTAACGTATCGGAGTTCAAATTTAAACATAAGGCCTAAACAACAAAAAAAGATGTTGTAGTGCCCTTTAGGTGCCAGATCATGGATCGATTGGTCTGATATGTTTAATTTTTGTTAAACCTTTTTTCCCAACTCAAAACAGCGACCGTCGCCCCAAAAACTCAAAACCGGGAACGTTGTCGAAATCTTGCTGGTTTCTAGCTGGTGCAGTGCATGGTGTTTACCCGTAAACGAGGCCAGGGTCTTCTTGTTTACGCTAGCAGGATTTCGAAACTAGGGCAGAAGACAAGTGAAAATATGGGAATATTTGATGATTTTATTCATTTGTATGCAATTTAAACAAACAAAATACATAGCTTTTTTTATTCACTATTTTTTGTTGTTGGAACGCCTCAAAAGTTTTGTTGACGATAAAAGGATTGTCAATATGTTATTTTAATTTCGCTCTTTCAGTTATTATTTAAAAAGTAAACATATATTTCGTTATCATCCAAAGTCTGTGCAATAGGTTCGGAACTAGTTTTGGATTCCTTGGAAGAACAGGACTTGTTTGTAAATATTACTGAAATGGGCTTTCAAACAGTTAGTCTTTACCTTTTCTCACTTTCTTATCATTTGAAATGTGAGTTATATGAATGATTTTAAAACTTGTATGTTTATATGGATTTCGGAAATTCCGGCACAGGAGCCATACGTCTGGTTGGTGGAAGCAACGAAGCAGAAGGAAGGGTTGAGATCCAGTACAACGGAGTCTGGGGAACTATCTGTGATGACTCATGGGGTATCACCGATGCCAGTGTTGTCTGCCGCATGCTAGGATTCCAGGGGGCTTCTGGAGCTCCAGGATCAGCTCATTTCGGACAAGGCACTGGTCCCATTCAACTAGATGACGTAGGCTGTACAGGAGCTGAGCAGACTATCTTTGACTGTGCCCACCCTGCTTTTGGTGTTCACAATTGTGCTCATTATGAAGATGCCGGAGTAGTTTGCATTGCTTCACAAGGTACAGGACAAGTTAGAAATTTTACCGAATTTATATAATTCTATGTTTCGTTACTCTATATTCGTAATGCCAAATGTACGTTTCTGTAAGGGTCCATGATTGTGTAGTTTCGTAATTCGGAAAGTGAAATAGGGTTACTATCGTAAAAAACAAAGTTCTGAAAAGGAGGGTTTCCAATAATCAACACTTATATGTCACACGTATAACCTTTTTTCCGAAATCAGGATCCAATTCTACTTATACTTCAACTCAGTGCAAATATCAAAAATGGTTTATAAATCAAATCAAAACCATATATCTTACATGGACTTTTCATTTTTCACAAAAAGCAGACCCATTATCAATACCGACATGACACAATTGCATATTTAATATAATTTGTTTAATACATCTATTCATTTTTTTTATATACACAAAAATTATTATAATAAAAGGGCACTAGTAATCCTAAATCCTTGAGTGAGAATATTTAAAACTTCCAAACGTGTATCCAGTATGTTATCCTTATCCCAATTTGTACACAACTTAAGTATTTTGTTCAATAACAACTAAAGATTTTGTTCGGAGTTTGTGATGAACGCAGAATATTTGTTAGTAATGCTTTGACGCGGTACTCATAATGTTTACGATTCGATTTGTAATATAAAGAATGGTAATAAGTATTACCACTTGATTTCATCTTTTAGATGTGCGTCTGGTTGGTGGAAGCAACGAAGCAGAGGGAAGGGTTGAGATCCAGTATAACGGAGTCTGGGGAACTATCTGTGATGACTCATGGGGTATCACCGATGCCAGTGTTGTCTGCCGCATGCTAGGATTCCAGGGGGCTTCTGGAGCTCCAGGATCAGCTCAATTCGGACAAGGCACTGGTCCCATTCAATTAGATGACGTAGGCTGTACAGGAGCTGAGCAGACTATCTTTGACTGTGCACACCCTGCTTTTGGTGTTCACAATTGTGCTCATTATGAAGATGCCGGAGTAGTTTGCATTGCTTCACAAGGTACAGGACAAGTTAGAAATTTTCCCGAATTTATATAATTCTATGTTTCGTTACTCTATATTCGTAATGCCAAATGTACGTTTCTGTAATGGTCCATGATTGTGTAGTTTCGTAATTCGGAAAGTGAAATAGGGTTACTATCGTAAAAAACAAAGTTCAGAAAAGGAGGGTTTCCAAGAATCAACACTTATATGTAACACGTATAACCTTTTTTCCGAAATCAGGATCCAATTTTTCTTATACTTCAACTCAGTTCAAATATCAAAAATGGTTTATAAATCAAATCAAAACGATATATCTTATATAGACTTTTCATTTTTCACAAAAAGCAGACCGAATATCAATACCGACATGACACAATTGCATATTTAATATCATTTGTAAAATATATCTATTCTTCATTTTATAAACAAGACAATCTTAAGATAAGAGGGCACTAGTAATCCTAAATCCATGGGTGAGAATATTTAAAACTTCCAAACGTGTATCCAGTATGTTATCCTTATCCCAATTTGTACACAACTTAAGTATTTTGTTCAATAACATCTAAAAGTTTTGTTCGGAGTTTGTGATGAACGCAGAATATTTGTTAGTATTGCTTCGACGCGGTACTCATAATGTTTACGATTCGATTTGTAATATAAAGAATGGTAATAAGTATTACCACTTGATTTCATATTTTAGATGTACGTCTGGTTGGTGGAAGCAACGAAGCAGAAGGAAGGGTTGAAATCCAGTATAACGGAGTCTGGGGAACTATCTGTGATGACTCATGGGATATCACCGATGCCAGTGTTGTCTGCCGCATGCTAGGATTCCAGGGGGCTTCTGGAGCTCCAGGATCAGCTCAATTCGGACAAGGCACTGGTGTCATTCAACTAGATGACGTAGGCTGTACAGGAGCTGAGCAGACTATCTTTGACTGTGCCCACCCTGCTTTTGGTGTTCACAATTGTGCTCATTATGAAGATGCCGGAGTAGCTTGCATTGCTTCACAAGGTACAGGACAAGTTAGAAATGTTCCCGAATTTATATAATTCTATGTTTCGTTACTCTATATTCGTAATGCCAAATGTACGTTTCTGTAATAGTCCATGATTGTGTAGTTTCGTAATTCGGAAAGTGAAATAGGGTTACTATCGTAAAAAACAAAGTTCAGAAAAGGAGGGTTTCCAATAATCAACACTTACATGTAACACGAATAACCTTTTTTCCGAAATCAGGATCCAATTGTACTTATACTTCAACTCAGTGCAAATATCAAAAATGGTTTATAAATCAAATCAAAACCATATATCTTACATGGACTTTTCATTTTTCACAAAAAGCAGACCGATTATCAATACCGACATGACACAATTGCATATTTAATATCATTTGTTTAATACATCTATTCATTTTTTTTATATGCACAAAAATTATTATAATAAGAGGGCACTAGTAATCCTAAATCCTTGGGTGAGAACATTTAAAACTTCCAAACGTGTATCCAGTATGTTATCCTTATCCCAATTTGTACACAACTTAAGTATTTTGTTCAATAACAACTAAAGATTTTGTTCGGAGTTTGTGATGAACGCAGAATATTTGTTAGTATTGCTTTGACGCGGTACTCATAATGTTTACGTTTCGATTTGTAATATAAAGAATGGTAATAAGTATTACCACTTGATTTCATATTTTAGATGTGCGTCTGGTTGGTGGAAGCAACGAAGCAGAGGGAAGGGTTGAGATCCAGTATAACGGAGTCTGGGGAACTATCTGTGATGACTCATGGGGTATCACCGATGCCAGTGTTGTCTGCCGCATGCTAGGATTCCAGGGGGCTTCTGGAGCTCCAGGATCAGCTCAATTCGGACAAGGCACTGGTCCCATTCAATTAGATGACGTAGGCTGTACAGGAGCTGAGCAGACTATCTTTGACTGTGCACACCCTGCTTTTGGTGTTCACAATTGTGTTCATTATGAAGATGCCGGAGTAGTTTGCATTGCTTCACAAGGTACAGGACAAGTTAGAAATTTTCCCGAATTTATATAATTCTATGTTTCGTTACTCTATATTCGTAATGCCAAATGTACGTTTCTGTAATGGTCCATGATTGTGTAGTTTCGTAATTCGGAAAGTGAAATAGGGTTACTATCGTAAAAAACAAAGTTCAGAAAAGGAGGGTTTCCAATAATCAACACTTATATGTAACACGTATAACCTTTTTTTCCGAAATCAGGATCCAATTTTTCTTATACTTCAACTCAGTTCAAATATCAAAAATGGTTTATAAATCAAATCAAAACCATATATCTTATATAGACTTTTCATTTTTCACAAAAAGCAGACCGATTATCAATACCGACATGACACAATTGCATATTTAATATCATTTGTAAAATTATCTATTCTTCATTTTATAAACAAGACAATCTTAAGATAATAGGCCACTAGTAATCCTAAATCCTTGGGTGAGAATATTTAAAACTTCCAAACGTGTATCCAGTATGTTATCCTTATCCCAATTTGTACACAACTTAAGTATTTTGTTCAATAACATCTAAAAGTTTTGTTCGGAGTTTGTGATGAACGCAGAATATTTGTTAGTATTGCCTTGACGCGGTAATCATAATGTTTACGATTCGATTTGTAATATAAAGAATGGTAATAAGTATTACCACTTGATTTCATATTTTAGATGTACGTCTGGTTGGTGGAAGCAACGAAGCAGAAGGAAGGGTTGAAATCCAGTATAACGGAGTCTGGGGAACTATCTGTGATGACTCATGGGATATCACCGATGCCAGTGTTGTCTGCCGCATGCTAGGATTCCAGGGGGCTTCTGGAGCTCCAGGATCAGCTCAATTCGGACAAGGCACTGGTCTCATTCAACTAGATGACGTAGGCTGTACAGGAGCTGAGCAGACTATTTTTGACTGTGCCCACCCTGCTTTTGGTGTTCACAATTGTGCTCATTATGAAGATGCCGGAGTAGTTTGCATTACTTCACAAGGTACAGGACAAGTTAGAAATGTTCCCGAATTTATATAATTCTATGTTTCGTTACTCTATATTCGTAATGCCAAATGTACGTTTCTGTAATGGTCCATGATTGTGTAGTTTCGTAATTCGGAAAGTGAAATAGGGTTACTATCGTAAAAAACAAAGTTCAGAAAAGGAGGGTTTCCAATAATCAACACTTACATGTAACACGTATAACCTTTTTTCCGAAATCAGGATCCAATTTTACTTATACTTCAACTCAGTTCAAATATCAAAAATGGTTTATAAATCAAATCAAAACCATATATCTTACATAGACTTTTCATTTTTCACAAAAAGCAGACCGATTATCAATACCGACATGACACAATTGCATATTTAATATCATTTGTTTAATACATCTATTCATTTTTTTATATACACAAAAATTATTATAATAAGAGGGCACTAGTAATCCTAAATCCTTAGGTGAGAACATTTAAAACTTCCAAACGTGTATCCAGTATGTTATCCTTATCCCAATTAGTACACACTTAAGTATTTTGTTCAATAACAACTAAAGATTTTGTTCGGAGTTTGTGATGAACGCAGAATATTTGTTAGTATTGCTTTGACGCGTTACTCATAATGTTTACGTTTCGATTTGTAACATAAAGAATTGTAATAAGTATTACCACTTGATTTCATCTTTTAGATGTGCGTCTGGTTGGTGGAAGCAACGAAGCAGAGGGAAGGGTTGAGATCCAGTATAACGAAGTCTGGGGAACTATCTGTGATGACTCATGGGGTATCACCGATGCCAGTGTTGTCTGCCGCATGCTAGGATTCCAGGGGGCTTCTGGAGCTCCAGGATCAGCTCATTTCGGACAAGGCACTGGTCCCATTCAATTAGATGACGTAGGCTGTACAGGAGCTGAGCAGACTATCTTTGACTGTGCACACCCTGCTTTTGGTGTTCACAATTGTGCTCATTATGAAGATGCCGGAGTAGTTTGCATTACTTCACAAGGTACAGGACAAGTTAGAAATTTTCCCGAATTTATATAATTCTATGTTTCGTTACTCTATATTCGTAATGCCAAATGTACTTTTCTGTAATGGTCCATGATTGTGTAGTTTCGTAATTCGGAAAGTGAAATAGGGTTACTATCGTAAAAAACAAAGTTCAGAAAAGGAGGGTTTCCAATAATCAACACTTATATGTAACACGTATAACCTTTTTTCCGAAATCAGGATCCAATTTTTCTTATACTTCAACTCAGTTCAAATATCAAAAATGGTTTATAAATCAAATCAAAACCATATATCTTATATAGACTTTTCATTTTTCACAAAAAGCAGACCGATTATCAATACCGACATGACACAATTGCATATTTAATATCATTTGTAAAATATATCTATTCTTCATTTTATAAACAAGACAATCTTAAGATAAGAGGGCACTAGTAATCCTAAATCCTTGGGTGAGAATATTTAAAACTTCCAAACGTGTATCCAGTATGTTATCCTTATCCCAATTAGTACACAACTTAAGTATTTTGTTCAATAACAACTAAAGGTTTTGTTCGGAGTTTGTGATGAACGCAGAATATTTGTTAGTATTGCTTTGACGCGTTACTCATAATGTTTACGATTCGATTTGTAATATAAAGAAAGGTAATAAGTATTACCACTTGATTTCATCTTTTAGATGTACGTCTGGTTGGTGGAAGCAACGAAGCAGAAGGAAGGGTTGAAATCCAGTATAACGGAGTCTGGGGAACTATCTGTGATGACTCATGGGGTATCACCGATGCCAGTGTTGTCTGCCGCATGCTAGGATTCCAGGGGGCTTCTGGAGCTCCAGGATCAGCTCATTTCGGACAAGGCATTGGTCCCATTCAACTAGATGACGTAGGCTGTACAGGAGCTGAGCAGTCTATCTTTGACTGTGCCCACCCTGCTTTTGGTGTTCACAATTGTGCTCATTATGAAGATGCCGGAGTAGTTTGCATTGCTTCACAAGGTACAGGACAAGTTAGAAATTTTCCCGAATTTATATAATTCTATGTTTCGTTACTCTATATTCGTAATGCCAAATGTACGTTTCTGTAATGGTCCATGATTGTGTAGTTTCGTAATTCGGAAAGTGAAATAGGGTTACTATCGTAAAAAACAAAGTTCTGAAAAGGAGGGTTTCCAATAATCAACACTTATATGTCACACGTATAACCTTTTTTCCGAAATCAGGATCCAATTCTACTTATACTTCAACTCAGTTCAAATATCAAAAATGGTTTATAAATTAAATCAAAACCATATCTCTTACATAGACTTTTCATTTTTCACAAAAAGCAGGGCGATTATCAATACCGACATGACAAAATTGCATATATAATATCATTTGTTTAATACATCTATTCATTTTTTTATATAGACAAAAATTATTATAATAAGAGGGCAATAGTATTCCTAGATCCTTGGGTGAGAACATTTGTAACTTCAAATCGTGTGTCCTGGATTTTATCCTAACCCAAATTATACAGAACTTGAGTACTATGTTCAAAAACAACTGAACAACCTTTTTACGCAGGTTGTGATAGACACAGAATTGTCGTTATTATTCCTTTGACGCGATGCTCATAATTATTGCGTTTCATTTTTCAAAATATAGAGAAGGGTTATGAGTATAAGCATTTGATTTAATCTTTTCAGACGTACGTCTGGTTGATGGAAGCAACGAAGCAGAAGGAAGGGTTGAAATCCAGTATAACGGAGTCTGGGGAACTATCTGTGATGACTCATGGGATATCACCGATGCCAGTGTTGTCTGCCGCATGCTAGGATTCCAGGGGGCTTCTGGAGCTCCAGGATCAGCTCAATTCGGACAAGGCACTGGTCCCATTCAACTAGATGACGTAGGCTGTACAGGAGCTGAACAGACTATCTTTGACTGTGCACACCCTCCTTTCGGTGTTCACAATTGTTTTCATAGTGAAGATGCCGGAGTAGTTTGCATTGCTTGAGCAGGTACAGGTTAATAGCCTTTTACCCAAAGTTTTAAAATAAACGTTAAACGTCCTTTTCCCAAATGTGCGAAATAATAATTTTTAAATAAAACCTTTATGATATAAACAAGAATCTTTTATATTAGAAGAGCAGTAGCAATCCTACGTTTTTTTGGAAAGTAGGAATATTATTTATACTGTGTCCAGCATGTCATTCTGGCATTACCACAACAAACCCCTCTGCTCCACGTCACACTTGCTCCTGCAACCTAATCTCAACCTCAATATCCTACACTAACCGAATGATAGTATACGTTAATCTCTTACCAAACACTTCACTTTAAGGTATTAAGTAACTTTGCCTCTGATTTTAAACAAAGTTCTGGATTTAGCTCTTGCTACAATCATAATTATAAATCTTTAAGTCAGAAATGATTCCCATGACTTTTACAAGCCAATTGCATGTTTCATTATCAAAATATTTATGATTGGAATTTGAAATGTTAAAAACCGTTTTATGCTACAGTCTATTGGGGAAAATGAGTATGGTAAAACTGGTCACTCAAAGTTGTTTCACCTTTTTGAAGCACTTCAATATTACATCACATCAATTTTCAGCCCCATAAGACAGAACATTTACTAAAATTAAGATTCACTATAGATAGCATAAACAAAACAATGTTGTTTTTTTCGAATTACAAACGTTTCTTACAAATACTTTTATTCGTACTTCAGTTTCTTTATGGGGATTTTACTACATTGGGAAACGAGTCACTTTGGGCTTAATGGCTTTTAATTAATTGCGGTGAGGGATAAATTCTCATTTGCGGTGATGGATACATTTTCATACAAACTCGAAACATTTTAAATTGGCTCAGAGTGGAAATCGTGCGGTGTCAATGAGATCGAAACTGATTGGAAACATCTCTTAAAGGGAAGTTAAACCTCGACAGCAAACTACGCTAGAAGAAAGCAGAAAATTCATAAACGCATACTGGTCAAAATTTGAATGAAATCGGACAAAAATTAGAAAATTCTGTGTTTGTGTAAGTTGCTGTCACTACAGGTATGGACCTTTCAAAGTGACTTAATCGGTACCGTTTCTGTAATATATTTCACTTATTCAAAAATGTATGACTCAGAATTCTTCCCTTTTTTTTCTTTTTCTAGAACCTGTAATAATATACACTCGATGATATATTCGCGGTAGTGGCACAACGGTGAAGGCACTTGGGAGAAGAAAAAAGTTTTAATTTCATACACGACAAACGGGAAGTTTATCTGTCACTACGTCACAATCCACTGACAAAATTGCCAATTTGAGATTTGCAAAGCTATAGTGATTTCAGATTACAAACAATCATAACTTTCTTATTATTGATCCTATTAATTTCAAACTTTCGCTTTTCTGTTTCTCTGATTTTCTGTTTTGACACCAATTAACTTTTTTCAAGGGTTGGATTGCCTTGTCGTGATTAATATAAAGTGATATTATTGTTTTGATTGATGTTTCAGTGTATACGAACTGGGACCAAACCATATTTGACCGTGTATTAAGCTAGGTCCTTGCCCTTTTATTGAAATATTGTATAAACATTACGCCATAAAAGAATGCTTTCCGCTCCAGCGTAGGTAAAATGTCAACAACAAAATATTTCTTATTTTCATTAGGGATAAATATATTGGAAATTTGTCTGTTTCTTATTACTTTAATGTGTTCTACTACCTAACTGTCTCTGCTTTTAACGTTAAGATTCTTCGATCTTCAATTTCAAACTCTTTATAATTATGATGTTAAAACACACATGGTTGACATTATAAGTAGAGTGTGATAAATTATAATATTCTAACTTGCAGTAAAACAAATTGAATCATACTTAATAATGGAAATATGTCAGCCAGTTTCTTCTTGGATAGTTAAGAATTTGTATAAGTTAATTTCAACGTCCCTTTCTGGTTGTCACAGGTAAACTGGCAAACTTCAATTTCAAGATAACTGAATTATCGTATCTTTCTGGTTATGAAATGGTGATGTACTGGTATAATTTCAGTTTCGAGTAAACCCAAGTTTTGCATATTTCGAGTAGTAAAGAGGTAAACTGTGATCTCAAGATCTTCAATCTTTCGGGGGTTTTTTACCCTTTTTTAATCTCAATGTAGAGCATGAATGTACGTGTCATTTACAATCATTACTTATGTTTTTCAAAACACGGAGAGGAGAAGGTAATGGTAGGGTGCGATATAACTTTAAAAATTAAAGGGATAGTTGAGTTCTGTTGCAGAGGACGCTACACAAAATAATTTTTTGTGAGATAATGAAAACTGAGTGTCAGATTTGAAAGAACATAATATTTAAATGACGAAATCATCTTTGTTTGATCAAAATCGGTTCAGAGACAGCTGAAATATAACGATTTTTAATACTTGTGTACCACCACATATATTAGGTATTTTGAAAAAATTGAAAAAACGCCTTTTACGTTGTATTTCAGCCAATGCCGATGTAGGCTTTTTTGTTGGCATTTTCGTGTTGCTTATGTAACGCACGACCAACCGGCCCATGTATTGTTATTTTTAATTAAATAATTAATTAGCGGTCACCATTTTTGTTTTAAGTGGAGCTGAATTGGTATGCTCGTATTGGCTAAATTTCACACATTTTGGGGTCTAAAATTACCTTCATAGCATTTTTAGGTTCTAACAGGGCACTAGAAATGCCATAGATAAGAATAAGAGCAATAACCATGCACTTTGAAGGCATTTGCGGTCTGAAAACAGAACTTAACTATCCCTTTAATATGATTTTTATGGAATTTTATTACGTTTGTACTACTTGTTTGCATTGGTGAAGGAATAAAAATTTCATGAATCGGATTAGTTACCATTGATTTGGAGTGCTTTTTTTGTCTACATGTTATGGGGTTCTCAAACAAGACTGTACTGTTGTGAATAAAGAGAAGTTCGGTTCGTTTATAAATGAATATTTACTGATCACACAAATAACTAAAGGAGAATTACGGGGGAACAATGAAATAGAAGTAAAATAATTTTGCGGGAGAAATACCCATGTTTTGTTAAGTGATAAGTTATATCTTTATGAGTATGAGGTGATTTTATTAACAAGTTGGATGATGACATACGCTAAAAACATATCATAGGTAGCATTTTTTTTACCAACACCAAGCCCTTGACGTTTTCCAATAATTACCTAGCCAGTAGGGGGGGTGTTTCACAAAGATCCTAAGGTGAACCTATCTCTAAGCCGTTAGCATCTTTGACAATAATTTGTAAAAGTTATTTTAACCCTAATAAGGCTGGGGGCATTATGCCCCCCCCCCTCCACGATTTTTCTGATTTTTCGAGAACGCATATGGATGGCGCTCCGCCGCTTGCTGACTTTTTTCTTTCGAGTCTTGCGCATCTTTAAAGAAAAACAAATTAAAAATCGGACGTACAGTTACGAGGTCACGTGACCTGTTGTCTTTGCATGTCAGCCCGAAAATCGCTCATTTTTGTGATTTGTGTACAAAACATATGCAAATGTCATTTTTCCTAAAAACATAGATAAAACATTGTTTATTGGGTCTTGTTTAAAGTTTAGGTGGTTGTTTTGGGGGTAAAAATAGTTGAATTGTAGTAAAAAATGAAATAAAACGATAAAAACAATAAAATACATAAGAAATTATCAAAACAATAGATAACATAAAGAATAAGCTGGCTCTTCCGAATTTGTTTGTCGTATTATTATTTCTAATGGCCTAATGCATGTGGTTAAAAAGAATGCTTAAATATGAATAATATATGATTTATGGGTAAAAATGTGATTTATGACCTTATTTGCATAAATTACCATAAATATACAATGAATTTTTCAACAAAACTTGTTATTATTAAATCCTTCACTTCATTTGATATGCGTGCAAATTTTCACGGAGATCGGCCTTTTCACGGCCGAGATCTTAAAGGGGGCATAATGCCCCCCCCCCCCCCCGCCCGTACTAAGACCTCAAATAGCCCGGCCTTTTTAGGGTTAAAAGGCATAACATTTGGATTCAAATCATTCACATCATATAATATCAAGGAGATTTCATGTTCTTGATGTGGAACTTAAATAAAGTCTAAAAAAATTGAATTTCGCTTTTAAATATATATTTTTAAGGCTAGAAATAATTCATAATTTGTTAGTCCAACATAGAGTTAAGTTTGACTTAGGATCTGTGTGAAACATCCCCCTGAACCTAATTCTCACATAAGGGTTTCAAGACAATAGACCATTTTCGTAATGCAATCAAATTTAATGCACAAATGTGTTAAGTGCCTTGTTACAAATCATTTCATTCACCTAATATAAATAGTTTTTTTAAAGTTTTTTATTTCTATTTTTATTTGTAAATCAAAAGAAATCACAATATTTACAGATAATTTACCTAATCTGAAACAAATTCACTAAAAAGAATAAAGCCATAACAATAAATTAGGTAGAAAAAAGGTAGAAAATTGAAACGTTACAAAATACATATTGTTCAACGAAGAAGCCCCCGAGACAAAATAATGGTGCAACAGCGGACCGACCCCAACCCTACCGATACAGACGAGCGACCATATGTCAAGTCTCATCTACACCACCTGGACAACCACTGAACAAGCAGGACCAAGGAGCGGGCATATGGATTTTACCCATATACTAAGCGTCAACCTCTCCAAACACACCGCGCACCGCCGTGAAAAGTTTTTAAAATGTGCCAAAATCCCCCCTTTTCAACCACATCTTCTGATCCGATCGGCCTAGTTCACCATCGGAAAAAGCGTTAACGCGACGCGACGCTACCCACCCTTTCGGCATAAGCCCTGGCACTTCATCTTCCAGGTATGGAAAAAGAAAGAAAGACAGACAGAAGATGGATGAATGAAAGAAATAAAGAGTGAGATAAAGAAAAAGAAGGAAAGAAAAAAAGTGATACAGAAAATGAATAAAAAGAAGAAAGAAAGAAAGAGTGAGGTAAAGATAAAGAATGAAAGAGGGGCAGGAAATAAATGAATAAATGGAAGAAAGAAAATAGAAAGAGTGAAATAAAGATAAAGTAAATGAGAGAGAGAGAGAGAGAGAGAAACCTGCATCAGCCCAAATTGTAATTTACATCCATGCCCTGTTTCAGTTTTGAGACACGCCATATTGAATATTGCTTTGGAACTGAACACAATTGGAGCTGAATCTCCCCCATCCCCCCCCCCCCCCCCCCCATTTGACTGATCAATAGCACGCACGGCGATTTGCAGATCCCGCTTTAAGACCTGTTTTCCATCAAGATTATGAATGTATCATTTAATGCTTACTCCATGATTACTGAACACTCAACAAATTAATATCGACCAAAACATATGATTTCAGCTGCCACCATCCACTCTCAAGAAGAAAATAAATCTTTCTCTATTAATGCTCAAAATGAGACTCCTATCACTGCCGACATGAGAGACACGATCGTTTCGCGTAGCTATGAAGAGCACGTGCCCATCATAATCGAATAATGATTTATTTGTTTAAAGGGGGAATGGAGGTAGGTATTAAGCTTTAAGCAAGAGCCCCCTTGCACAATGCTCATTTATTCACGATGTAAGACCGCCCCATGACACATGCGCCCCTAATACCTGGTACGCTTCGCCACTACATGGGCGCCTTGATTTCATTATACTAAATCATACATGGGTTATTGGGTCTTGTTTAAAAATTAGGTGGTTGTTTTGGGAGTAAAATAGTTGAATTGATGTTAGAAATGAAATAAAACGACAAAAACAATAAAATACATAAGTTTTAAAAAAAACAAAGAAATACATAAGAAATTATCAAAACAAGGGATAACATAACGAATAAGCTGGCTCTTCCAAATTTGTTTGTCCTATTATTATTCAGAATGGTCTAATGAATATATGTAGTGAAAAAGAATGCCTAAATATGAATAATATATGATTTATGGGTAAAAAAAAATGTTATGACCTTTTTTGCATAAATTACCATTAATATGCAAATGAGTGAATTTTTCAAAAAATTGAAATTATCATAGTGTTCTATACACTTCACTTGACATGCGTGCACATTTTCGCGGAGATCGGCCGCTTCACGGCCGAGATCTTATGAGGGGGGGGGGGGGGTGGCATAATGGGTTAACTAAGATTGTCCTAGACACAAAGTATGTAAAGTTGGTGCAAAATCTGTATTGGGAGCAACCATCATGTATTAGGGGGGAAACATAAATAAGTGACTACATCAACATTAAGAGGGGGTTCGGCAAGGATGTTTCATGTCTCAATATCTATTCAGTTATTACAGTGATTTGATACTTAGAAACCTAGAACAGGAAAGAGGATTGAAGATAGGAAGACATAATATCACAAATATGCGGTATGCAGATGATACTATATTAATCACAGAATTAGCGAAGGACCTACAGCGACTTTTAGACGTTGTCGTCAGAGAAAGTGAAAAGAGAGGATTATCACTAATTTACAAAAAACAAAACATGAATGGTAATCTCAAAGATGGAGGGGATACCATGCTCTCTTAAGATCCAGCAACAATCAAACCAAGCAAGCCACCTCTGTTAATTACATCGGGACTACAATTACAGACGATGCAAGAGGCGAGCAAATTTCATGGACACAAAGAATTTCTAATAATGAGGTATTTACCATGGCACGAACAAGACGAAAGCTTCTGAACAGAGGCGGCGCTCCGGGGGGGGGGGAGGGGACAGGGGGAGGGGCACAGTGTCCTCCCACTTTTTCAAGTACCCTAAAAGTGCCCCTTTTTGCATAGGAAAAGTGCCCTTTTTTACATAGGAAAAGTGCCCCTTTTACTTTGACAAGTGCCCCTATTATTTTTCTAAAGCGTCCCTTCCTCTTTCCACTTCTGATAAGTGCCCCTTTTATTTTGATACGTACCCTTTTTTCCTTTGACAAGCTAACATTTCCTTTGCAATAAGTATCGATATTTCCATCCTCATAAGTGCCTTCTTAATTTCTAGTTAGTTCCCCTGTTCAGGTACGAGAAGCGCCCCTTTTCACTTTTGATAAGCGCCCCCTTCACCTCTGATAATTGCCCTATTCAAATCTGGGAGGTTCCCCTTTTGCTTTGACAAGTTCCCCTTTCCTTTGTAAAAAGTGCCCCTTCCCCTTTTGATAACTATCTCTTTTTAATTATATTCACATGTGCCCCCTTTCCTTTTCCTTTCCTTATGATAAGTGCCCTTATTTAAAAAGTGCCCCTTCCCCTCCAGATAAGTGCTCTTTTCATCTCTTATAGACGCCCCATTATTTTGACACGTCCCCCTTTTCCTTCCTTATAAATGCTCTTGTTCCTTCTTATAAGTGCCCCCTTCCCCTTCTCATAATTACCCCTATACATCTTTGATAATTGCCCCTATTAAAATCTGATCGGTGCCCCTTTTCTTTCAACAAAATAATGCACATTTCCCTTTATCATTAGTGTACCTTTTTTATTCTCATAAGTGCCTCTTTTCATTTATGATTAATGCCCCTTTTCAGATGCGATAAGTACCCCTTTTCACCTCTGATAATTACCCTTTTAACAATGATATGTGCCCCTTCTTCGTTTCTGATAAGGAACATGTCCCTTTTTCATAAATGCCCCTTTTCACTTCTTATAAAAGCCCTTATCAATATCTGATGAGTTCCTCTTTTCCGTCGACAAATGCCCATTTCCCCTATCAAGATTTGGTTTTTCCTCTTTATATTAGATGTAATTTTCCTCGCTCGCAAATGAATTTTCAGACCATCACACCCAACTGCAAAGTACGATGCTTAAGCAATATGTTACATGATGTATATATTGTGATTACATTATCGGGGATAATGTAATC